CACACACACACTGGAATATTATTCAGCCTTAAAAAGAAGGAAATCCTGCCATTTGTGACAACATGGATAAATCTCGAAGGCATTATGTGACATGAAATAAGCCAGGCAGAAAGACAAATACTGCATGGTATCACTAAATGGAGTATTGGGGGGAAAAAAAAATCAAGTTCATCAAAAAAGAGCAGAAAAGTGGTTTTCAGGGCCTAAGGGATGGGGAAAATAGGCAGAGGCATTAAAGGAATACAAACAGGTCTAAGATGGGTAAGGTCTGAGGATCTAATGAATTACATGGTAACTATAGTTGATAACACTGTATTATATAACCAAAATTTGCTAAGAAAGTAGAACTTAAGTGTTCCCACAGGAAAAAAACCCAATCACCCCCCAAAACCCAGAAAACCAAAAAGGGTAAACATGTAACGTAACAAATGTGTTAATTAATTCAATGGGGGGGGGCAGAGAAGTCCTTTCAAAATGTTTACATATATCAAAGTCATCATGTATACACTTCAAATATCTTACAATTTTGTCAAGTGTACCCCAATAAAGCTGAAAAAAAAAGTTTATTGGATCTTCTTAAAATCATTCCCCATATTTGAAAAACAACTGCTTTATCCTATTAATCATACTTTCTTTCCACAATTATGTATACTACTTCAGGATTCACATGGGATTATTTGAAATTATATGCCAAAATAAACTTATAAAATACGTACATTACTGATTAACACTTAAATCCGCTCTAACGTTTAAAATGTATTCAAGAAATATTGGGTGGACAGGGAAAAGAGCAAATCTATCATTTGGAGTTAAACGTACATTTGGCCTTTTATTTGTCCTGGATCTGGTAAAAAAACAAAACAAAACAAACACCTTTATTGTATGACAGTTACTGTAAGCAAGGAGTCCATAGATTTCTAACTGAATATCACAGGCTACCTACAGAATCTCGGTGGTGTCGCTTTTTCTAATACCTCCAAGAATCTTAGAAAGAGTAGGTCCTATCAGGAAATCACTTTTATTGTATTATGTCATTGTAGCTAAATACATTTAAGAAAAAGAAAAAAGAAAGCACTTCTGGGTGGCTGTGTAGCTTTTAGAACTCTACTTTCCTCCAAATTTTGATCTGCAAAGGAAACAACTGGACATTTTCACCAAAGATTTCAAACTTCTTTTTAGAACTAACAATCTGATTTCTGTATACACCTTCAATAAGCCTGGCAAGGGTGATTATAGTAATGCAAGTTCAGTGCAAAAAAATCACTGGCTTTGTTGTTTGTTTTTTAATGAAAACTCTCCCCAGGATGTCCCCTTCCAAAAAAAAAAAAAAAAAAAAAAAGGGCACCTGGGTGGCTCAGTGGGTTAAGCGTCCGACTCTCGATCTCAGCTCGGGGTCATGATCTTAGGGTCGTGAGATCGAGCCCTGCATCAGGCCCCATGCTGGATGTGGAGTCTGCTTTAGATTCTCTTCATCTCCCTCTCACTCTGTCCCTCCCCACTCCCACCCCACTCTCTCTCTCATTCTCTCTAAACAAAACCAAAAAACCCCAAAAAACCTCCACTGGAAGTTCTGCTCAAAAACAGCAAACATGTTATATAGCTGTTGGCCTTGGCCTTTATAAATCACCTTTAATGCCACGCAGCCAACTGAACAGACCCATGGAAATCATGGCTTGGTTAGAGAAGTTAAAAACAGACTTAAAACATTTTCAAGTTTAATATGCTACATATTTTTCACTAACACAAACTGACAGACTATGGTATGTTTTAAAACCTCCCACATAAGCAATTAAAACGCACACACCCAATGTACTCAAATCTACATGTGGAGTTTTTTAAACAAATGAATTTTTCAGCCATCAAACATTTAACCATTCAAAATTGTGGATTTTCATTAAGCATTTCTCAGCACTGAATCTATTAAGCAATTATGCATCAATGTCACTGAGTGTAAGTCACTGAATTTCTGCAGTAATATTATGCATTTATTATTCTGATTTTTTTCAATTCTAATTTTTGCACAGCCAAATTCCTTTCATCCTTGGGGCTAAGCTTATTTACAGAATAAATCACACAGTAGATCTACATACCTATTTGGCTCAGCTAAAACTTATGTCAAAATGGACAGACACAACTGCTCCAATTTTAAATTTCAAGACTATTTTCAGCTTTTGATTTTAAAATTTTACATTATAAAATCTTCAATTAAAAAAATCAACAAAGTAATTAGCTACCTTTATCTGTAAAGAGCGACTGGACACACTTCACAAGAGGTAGACGTTTTTAAGTTTTACACAAAAATACCACCTCTGTCAAAGCATTTGGAGCTCCAGAAATCCAACGTGTTAAGTGAAAGAAATGCCTTTTTGTCAGCTAAGTGTTTGTAACAAACTGACATCAACGAAAGACTTCCCGAAAGACTTAAAACCTAAGTGGGGAAAGGGGGGCCTGGGTAGCTCGGTTAAGCTTCTGCCTTGGGCTCAGGTCATGATCTAAGGGTCATGAGATGGAGCCCCACATCGGGCTCCCTGTTCAGTGCGGAACCTGCTTCTCCTTCACCCTCTGCTGCTCCCCCTGCTTGTGTTCCCTCTCTCGCTCGTGCTCTCTCTCAAGCAAATAAATAAAATCTTAAAAAAAAAAAACCCCTAAGTGGGGAGACACTAGACCACCCTTATCTGTGTGCCCGGTGCCATGAAGCAGGATCTCAGTAAATGCTGGGTGGGTGTCTGAGACCCAAGCCCCAGAATAAATAAAAGGCCTTCTGCCCTGCCCCAACAGGGAATCCGAAGGAAACAAACAAACAAACAAACATCATTTGGGAAGCTCAATGCTGTTTCCTATCTAGTTTCAAACAGGCATGAGTTCACCAGCAGGTGACTAATGCTGATCCTGCTGGATGGCAAATTGGCCTGCTAAGGAAAATGGCAGCAAATTCTGTCACCAGAGAAAAGGAACGGTGACTTTAGAGACATCTTCCTAAGGTCAGTGACTCACAGCCAACTGGCAGACCACACTAGCAAATGAAGCAGGAGAAGGGGGAAAAGAGACAGATCTTCATGCCTCCTTGACCTTGAAGCCAGGGAAAGAGACAGGCAAATGGCACTGAATTTTATAAAATTCCCAACTACTGAGCTTCTCGAAGTGAGGTCTGTGGAGTAGGCCAGGGCCATGATCTGCTGTTACTGGTCCGCAAGACATAAGTGCGACCAACTGACAATAAGCATTTACAAGGAGCAATTTGACAGAGTAATTTTTCTAGCTATTGAATCTCATAATAAAAAAAATTTAAACTTAAGATTTTTGCATATGTCTGGTTTTACTCATTTCACCCTCCTAGGGACTGGTTCTTACTATATTTTGTAGCAAGTATTGATCCAGAATAAATTGGAAATTAAAAGAAAAAAAAAGGTCCTTTACCATAGATAGTTTGAGAAGCACTGCACTAGAGCACCCAAAAATCCAGTTTTGTGTGGCAAGTATGCATATGATGCTTGTCAGGATATTGATTTACCTGTAATTGTCTCTTAAGTTACTTGAATATAGAGATTTTTCAGAAGCAGATAATTTTGCCCATGTAAAATATGCTAAGCATCTCTGATTAACATCTGAATTAATCTAGAGATATTTGAAATGCAGGCCAATGAGATACCATATAATCAACACTGTTCTGAGGGACTGAGATGTTAATTAACACGATTTCCTCAAAAAAGGTAAGTTCTGTGGTCAAAGCAGTTTGAGCTCTATACCTCATCCCACACCCCCTTCCTGGGGAGGAATACACACCAGCACATTAAGGATCTGGAGTGAAGAAACTTGTTTAGCCCCACAGATGTGACCCTCTTTATCTCAACACCTAAGAACACCCTATTCTTGCAAATGAGGTGTAGTTAAAAGACTCCAGATTAGCAATCAAAAACCTGCCTTGAGCATCACTTTCCTGTCTTCATTTTAGTTGGATCACACTCCCCCACCCCACACCACCGAGCTGCAGCATCAAGTAACTTGTACAACAACTTCACAGCAAATAAGCTCCTTGAGGACAAGAAATTGGCACCATCCTTTGTTCCCACAGGCCTCCTGCAGCCCAACACACACAAAGCACTCAGCAAGGCTGTCTCCTCATCTCCCACCCCCCAACACACACCCAGGATAGCTAATTCCAATGGTCATCTTGTCGACCACTCCCCTGGAATTCTGTGTCCTTGGAGGCCTCCTGTGCCCTGGGCCCAACTGGTGCGGTGTGGCAGACACCTGCTGTCCTTTCCTGGACATGCAGATAGGCCCTAGAGTAGAGCCAGGAAGGAGCTTTGCGCAGGGCAGAAGCCCCAGCTGGTGAGGATGCTCCCTTGGCCTCAACCTCTGCGCAAAAACATTTCTCTAAGATGTTGTGGGGGTCACCGCAGGGCAGGACTCAGGTGTTCAAGTTCCCATGCCCCAAGCTCTCCTCCCACCTAAAGCACCTGCTCCCTCTCCCACAGTAACCACAGGCCATGCAGGAGGGTCCCGTCGAGCTGGACCGATATTGCATTCGTCTTAGTGGGAGAACAATCTAAACACAAATAATATCACAACCCCGAAAGAGAAAGCACTGTGACAAAGAAATCATGTCAGAGCTTGATAGCATCTCTTTCCCAACTAACACCACACTCCAGGTTCTATTCAACCTCTGGCTCCCCATTTCAACCATCAATAATAATACATTTTCCCTCAAACGACTGTTATTTTTCACTTCTATGGCTCCTCTGTTTACTTCAAAGGCAGCACCCAGAATCTGAGTGACCCCTACAAGGTCGTGTGGTCAGTGAAATGTAGGCCAAGGAATTGGTTTTTGTACACACTCTTCCAACCACCAAACCGCGGGGTCTTTGTTAAGGTCAAAATTATCCCGAGACATTATTTACATAGTACACAATGAGCTCAGTTCTGCAGCTGTTACAAACACGAGCCACAACTTAAAATAATTAAAACTAGAAAGATAAGGAACCATTCGCTTTACTCACTGTTCACATAAACATTAAATGTCACAGAAGAATTGACATCGGAATTGGACACTTGAAATGTGTAAGTGCCTCCTTCGTTCCCTTTTAATCTGGTTAGATGAAGCTCACTCACATATCTACAAAAAGAGAAAGAAAAAAAAGAGACGAATCAATCACCCAGGAACGGTGTGCCTCGAGTGAGAGTCTTTTCCACAGTTTCTCTCTGGAAATACATGCCTGTTCGAGGAGGAACAAGACTCACTTTACTCAGTATTAGTAACAAGATCCACGTTAACAAATCCAAACGTACACACATGTATTTAATTTGGGACAAATAGCTGAGTGGGGAGAGGCTCTCTCAGCACAAAGGCAACCGCGTGGAGACTTGGGCCTCTTCCCCTTCCCCAGGTGTCCTCATGCCCATGTCTCTTTCTGCCCAAGGTCCTTCACCAGGGTCCTGAACTCACGTACCCTGCCGCGCTTTAACACCAAGCACCTAGCCACACTGGCAGGTGTCCACATGGAGATGTAGGACCCTCGTGGCCAGGCCAACACTGTGGCCCTCAGCTTCCTTCTTGCAAGGACCACAGTCTCCTGGTCCTCCCTTCACCCCCCACTACTTCTTCCTAGTGTCCTTTGCAGTATTTGCTCTTCGGGCTTCTTTTTTACTGCAGGGATAGCATGGCCATGTAGACCGAGCACACAGGCCTGCCAGGGGAGTTCGGACACGGGCGCTGGCGGGGATGGAGCGCCCTGGGCAGCCCTTGACCCACCTGAGCTGTACAACCGTCTTGACATACACAGCGGCCTATTCAGCCTCTGCTCTCACACTGCACCCACCCCCTGAGCAATCTACTCTCTCTCCCACTTAACTACTTGCTGTTTGCTCACAACTGTCAAATCTTTACCTCTCGTTCAGACTTCTCGGTCCTACACCTCATCTACAGAGCTATTTTCATGCCCCATCCCCCTGCCTTGTGGGTACAGCTAATAATGACTCACACCTGCAACGTCCTCCTCCCAAGTCTTGCCCTGGGACACGTGACCCCATTTGGAAGTTGCCTGCCTATCCAGGTCTACAGCCAAAGGGTGACTGCCCATGGGGAGGGACAAAAGCCCAGCTCCAGAAGGCCCCTGCGATCAGCCTGCTGCTCACCCACACCCATCCTTTCTTTTCCCCTTTACCCTCCCTGCCCTGCTCTCCTACTCCCCGGCAGGTCTCTCTCTCCCTTAATGAAGCCCTTGAGCCAGAATTCCTCTGCTCTGCTTCTAGGGAACCTGACCTAGGATACTTCTTACCTGAACATCTCCACTCGAGAGCCCATGGTCAACTTCCAATTTAACAAACCCCAAGCCGAACTCACTGTCTTTGCCCTCAACGACCTTCCCTCCTCCTTGAATGGCCTCACCGCTCACCATCCAACGTCGCTGACAGACACAGAATCCGTAGGGGCATCTGCAGCTCCTACCTCTTTCTCCCACCCCCCCCCCTCAATCACTGAGTCTTACTCAAGAGGTAGCCTGGACGCCTCCCAAATCCATCCCCCCCCCTCCAGCCCTTGCACCTTGGCCCAGGACAGTGTCTTCTCTCACCCACATCCCTACAACAGCCCATAGCTCCTGAATGGAAAAAAATACGAAGTCTATCTAGGCATCTACCTCTGTCAGCCATTTGATCTGGGTCAAGTTACCTAACTCATTTGTGTCTCTGTTTCCTCTCCTATAGAAATAACAGAAAAAGAGTGCCTGTCCATGGAGTTTGTGAGGACTAAAATCATTGACTTAATATACGGAAGGTACTTAGAACAGTGCCGCACAGACTACAGCACCTGTAGCCCACATAGAGTAAGCTACTTTTACGATCTTTTCTATTTTTTTATTATTTTTATTTACTATTTTTATTTTACTTTTTACTATTTTAAGATTACTACTATTTTCATTATAAATGTCTTGAGGATCAAATGAGAGGTGTGGGGGCCCCTGGGAGGCACAGTCAGTTAGGCTTCCGACTCTTGATTTCCGCTCAGGTCATGATCTCGGGGTCTTGAGATCCAGCCCCGCATAGGCTCTGAGCTCAGTGGGGAGTCTGCTAAAGGTTCTCTCTGCCCCTCCCTGCGTGCGCACGCACGCTCTCTCAAAAATAAATAAATAAATCTAAAAAGAAAAAAATGACAGGTGTGATGTGACAGAACTTGAGTTCACTGCCTGGCCCAAAGCTACTGAATGAGGCTTAGTTTTCTTTTAGGTTTGTTTTTTTTTTTTTTTAAGATTTATTTATTTATTTGAGAGCGAGAACATGTGAAATTTGGGGGAGGGAAGGATGGGCAGAGGCAGAGACAGAAGGAGAGAAGCAGACCCCCTGCTGAGAGGGGAGCCGAACACGGAGCTCGATCCCAGGACCCTGAGATCATGACCTGAACTGAAATCAAGAGTCAGACGCTTAACTCACTGAGCCACCCAGGTGCCCCTATTTTTCTTAGTTTTTAAAAAGGATTCAAAGCACTAACTTTCCTCTTTCTCTGAAAAATTATTTAATGTGTCCCTAGTATATACCAGTCCCTGCTTTGAACTATCCCCCATGTCAGAAATTCGAAAACTGATGCACAGACTCCTGTGTGTGCTTTAAACACAAAGCAAAAGGAAATACTGGTCTGAAGACTCAAGAAGGAGCCCCAAACTTCCTTCTATCGGGTATCCTCTCCCACATTTATGGGTCCCAGAAACAGGATCTGGTAAGCCCAGGGAAGAGGCAGAAGATGTCTAATCCCCAGGTCAAGGCTCTTTCTTTTCTTACCTGATATTACTTTCATTGTCAGACTTGGGATAATCTTCCCATTTATCAGTGAAGGTTCTGTTCATATAGATCCACTGCTGGTGCTCAGGTTTGGGATATGCCTCATATTCAACAATCAAATCCACATTCTCTCCATCATTTACAAATATTGTAGTATTCATCATGGGGAAGATATTAATGAATCCTCTATCTAATTATAACAGGACAAAACAGGAAGAAACTATTACCTACAACTACGCAACAGAAAACACAACTGCCTCTTTGGATTACAAAGATTACTGGTTTCAGGTATTAACTGGCAATAACAAGTAAGAATATTTTCAGTTGCCACTGTACCTATTTTTTTCTTTTTGCTCTTGCAGAATCATGGTCAGGAAGTGAGAAAGGGCACACTTGAAATGTTTATTCTCCCATCTCTGTCTGTCAAGCAACTCCCTTAAAGGTCTAGCACCATGTCCTAAATCTTCTAGAATGATTAGTCCTGATGTTTCCTAGGTTAAAAAGCATTTGGACTAAATAGCCCCTACTCAGACCCAATATAAATGTATATGTGATAGGAAGGTGTCATAAATCAAGAACGGGAGAGAGCCCTAATGGTCAATAAAAATGCTGAAAGAACACCCTTTAATATTTAAAGAAAAATAAACTTACATCTTCTCATCACGTATCACAGATGAAATCAAGGACAGCACTTTAATAACCACACCGTATTTTTAACTAAACAACAGAATTAACTCCTAGCAAACTTCTATAGAGGGGGGAGCAGTTTTCTAGGCTTTTTAGGAACGACAGAAGAGAAAAAAAAAAAGATCATAAAATCATAAAAATCCTAAGAATCTGAATACATAAGCATTTTTAAATGTCTATACAGTAAAATTAAGGTAGTAGGAAAAAGAACATGAAAATATAGATGGAAAATATTTAAACTAGTAATTAAAATAAGACTCCACTTTTCACTTATTAAAAATAGCAAAACTTCAATAAAGCTGCTAAAAAATAAAGTATAACCATCCTATGGAAAAACAGCAAAACTAATTTGAAAGAAACTCAATAATTTTGCAAGTGTGGTAAAAGTGGCATGATGAATTACACACTGTAAATTGGCACAACTCTTTCAGAAAGCATTTAGCAATATAGATTTTCTATAATTATCTATTCTCCCATTTAACCCTGTAATTCCCATTTGAGAACTCTTCTCAGTGGATAGCTACATACAAAAAGAATGGCTATCTACCCTGGACATACGAATTTTTTAAATCAGAAAACTGGTTAATAAAGCAGCCCTCAGAAATGGTTATATAATAATAATATAAGAAAGAGTCTGAAAAAAATGTAGTAAAATAACTGCCAACATAATTTTTTTTTTTTTGCCAACATAATTTTTATAGCCACCATTTATGGAATGTTTACTAGGGGCCAAGAACTGCCCTAAGTACTTCAGCATACATTTAAATTAGTAATAATGACAGATATTTAATTTTATAACAATACTGAAAGAGAAAGCTTATAACTAATTTATAGATGAAAAATTTCCAGTCCTGAAAAGCTAAATAGCTGGCTACCCAAAGGCAGAGCCCAGATCTGAACACAGGTTTGTGAGAAGCAAGGCTGGCCTCTTCATATACCCTAGATTCTCTATATACTTTCAGTTAGAGAGAAAGAATAAAATCATCTGTATAGGGGCGCCTGGGTGGCTCAGTGGGTTAAGCATCTGTCTTCAGCTCAGGTCATGATCCCAGGGTACTGGGATCAAGTCCCGCATCGGGCTCCTTGCTCCTGCTTCTGCCCCTCGCCTCTGCTCATGCTCTCTCTCTCAAATAAGTAAAATCTTAAAAAAAAAAAAAAAAAAAAGTATAACTGAAACCCTGCTGCGTACAAAAATATAAGCCATACACCAAATCTTAAAACAGTTATATCACATTAGTGAGATTATGGAAGAGTTTTCATTTTTTTCTTCCATTTCTTTTTCAAAATTAAAGAATTGTAAAATTTAAAACTATTCATTATTCATTCAATAATGTTATTCATTATTTTTGGCACCATTTGGTTGAATATATTAAGGTCCCACATGAGTTGTCATTCTAGTATTTAATGCCCTTTAATTTCCTATAGATTCAGAATAAAAGGAGTTCAACTACACCAATGGAAAAGGATCTGAGACAGGTGGGAATAAAAAATCATCCAGATGAAAGGTGGAGATGGAAACCACCACCCCGTTCTAACACCTGCATCATAAATGAAACTCCCCCTGCCATTTTTAAGCAAATTTGGGTTAATTTTGAGGGAATAAATGTTTCATCTGAACGCTACGTTACATTTTCAGGTTCTTAAGGTCCTAAATTCCAAGACACCACACAATGCAAAATACTCCAATATTACAGACAACAATATTTGCATTGAAATGAGTTCTCTCATCATCACCATATATAAAATACTTAGGTTCCTCCTGAGTTTTCTAGAGTCCTTTGGCTCAATATACTTTTATGTCCTAGAGTGGAATAGAGCTTCAAATTCATGAAGTGTAAGAATTATGAGGCTCAAAGAACCCCATCAGAGTTGTTTTAACATAAGGTATGATCTTTTCCAGGTGCTTCTGCATTAAGAAACTGGTGATGCATTAACATTTAATCAAGTACAAACACTATGCCAGGCACTTCTAGAAAATCTATTGCCTTTTCTCCTCTCCGCAGCCTCTGGAGTTAAGAGGCTGTGTTTCTCAGAAGAGGAAATGCAGGCAGAGGTAAAGGAGAGTGCCTTCGAAAGTTAGGTGGCACAACTCTGACTGAAAACCAGGTGGGGACCATCCCCAAGCCCCCCACCCCCAGCCCCCAAAGAAATTACTTTTCTCTTTGTCTCCTCCTATTCTCGTCCCGTCCCAGCCCATCCCGAAACAATGCAAAACCAGATTCAGGTTTCCCAGCCACGAGTCCTTCCAGTTACACAGTTATATTCTTGGAAATTGATGAATGGGTTTTAAAAATCTGATTACATACAATAATATGCTCAAAACATCCTTACTAATTGCTTTCTGGAGCTGAAGCTGATATATCAACATGCTCCCTAATCAACTTAGCAAATTAGCACTTATGGAGTTTAATATTTTAAAAAGCATAGCTTTCTATTCAAATTAATAAATGGTTCACAATCACGTTTAGGGAAAAAGTAAGACTCTTTCTGCATGCTGACTCTATAATTGCAAGGAAAGGGTGTTTTCCACGTTTAGCCTGGTGAGATGCTTTCCATTATGACATGGGCAGAAATGCCAAAATTCTATGAGATTATTGTGGGATAAATCACAGACCTCTAACACTGCTTCATAAATTATTGAAGAAACATGGGGGAAAGAGGAGAAATGAAAACAAATATCACACATCATTTTATTATTGCTCATGATGAAGAAATTTGCCACCCTACAAGTATTTAATCCAAGTCAAGCACTAAGACTGTAATTGCATTTAAAAGGCAAGAAAATAGATGAAATTCAAACAATACTCAAAAGACAAAAAATGTGTAATTTAAAAATTATTATTATTTCCAGTAAATCAAAAACATCCAGTACATTCACTAGGTTCTGCTCTCATTAAGTAGACCTTGGAAAGTAAGTATTTAGTGAGATTTCCAGAGTAGGGAAGAAAAGGCTAAATGGATCGTGCACACCAGGTAGGATGGGCTTAGGATTCTAGGGAACCATGATCCAGTTTATGCTGTGTAGAACCAATGAGTCAGGTCCCAGTGGATCTCCTTCCTGATGGTTTAGGCTACGGCCTGTAAGGTTGGAGGACGGGGTAAAGTGGGCGGCTGTACTAGGAAGAAGCAGCCCACTTCAGCCCTTCCTGCAACAAATGAACTAGTCCCATGAATGGTAAAAAGATAAGCCAAAGGCTCAGGGGCCTCCCTAAAAGATTCAGAGAAATACTTTAGGCTCTCAGCATCTGCACTCCTCCATACAGCAAGTCTACAATCCATTTCCAAGCTCAAGTCATTCAGCAAGGCCTAGAATTTTTGAAGAAGTTCCACTTAACATCTTATTTGTAGGGAGGGTGGGGTGGACAGCAGAAAATGACCCATTTAAACAACTTCGGTTACAGCCTACCACTTCCCCTTTATTAAAACTGGTAGAATTTGCTGTTGGGCTCTAGTTGTAAAAGGTGACAATGATCATTTTCATTCATTCATTCATGTGGTGACAATTAAATTTCTAGTCATCGCTTCAACATTCTATTCACATAAAAAGGCAACTATCTAGTAATTTCTTCTTTCACTACTGCCAGTAATTTATACATTCCCATAGAGAGATTTACCGACAACTTCCAAGGTGGTTGTGACATTCGCTGATCCGAAAGTATTATTGGCGTAACACATGAATACTCCAGAATCATTAACTCTTGCTGAGCTGATAGTCAATCTTTCCTGACGTACGAAATTGAAGTCACCCTGATGCCAACTATTACTCTGAGTCTGTGCATTAGTCTGCTGGTTTCAGAAGGAGAGAGAAAAAAAAATCAAAGATTACCATAAAATTTAGATTCAGGATCTTTCCTAGATAAATTAAAAATAGCAGCAATTAACTTCTCCATATTAACATTCATTATACGCTCCTTAAGTAAGAATAATAAAGCATCATGACAAGTCTGTCATTGGAACACTTCATAGTACAGGATTATATTGAAAGATAGTCATTATTAATGATTGGAAAAAACATGAAAATTCATTTCATAACAACCACAGCATGCATAATTCCAAAATCTCTGCGGCACTAAGTATTTTTTTTTTAGCAGTGACAAATTTTTAGAAGTTACTATATAAGAAATATTACAGAATACTGATATTTTACATTGAGTCAGCATAGTGAGGTCATGTCAGTATCTCCTGTTACACTTTTTTTTTTTATTCTATATCCCCGGGATCAAAAGAAAACACCTCACTAATAATAATATTCTATTTTATTAACATATTATTTTCATGAAGAAAAACTGAGTCACAATGTCTAAAACTCACTTGGAAATTCATCTTACAGCTCTTACCCAGCGGAATTTTGGCAACTATTAAGAGGGGTTCCAAAGTATGTGAGCCATGTAAGATCAAGCCCCAAATTACTTAAGCATGAGTAGAAGAGAAAAAGTTGCAAATTTGCTCTTGTGATAGCACCATTCTACTTGTATGATTTGTCTGCAGACAAAACATGGAGAGATTTTTTTGTATGGAAAACATCATGGGAATAAAACATAAACTATAGCCACTCTGAAAATCAAAGGGAGTACCACAAAGCTTTCTGCATCTTCCAAATTTTCTGTAATATGAACACATTGCTATTGAAAAAAATAACAACTAAAAAAAGTAAACGGACCTGATATTGACATGGAATGAGATCAGGGGTAATTCGCTGGCCAGGCTATAATGAACTACCAGCCCTAGACCACTCTGACATTATTGTAAATCAGAACAATCCTTACGGAAAGCAGCTTGGCAGTTTGTTCATACCCCTGATCAATTCCAGCAAATTTATCTCAAGGAAATAACTCTTTTTTTAAAAAAGCTCCAAAATATTTATTGCAGAGAAATCTCGGGGATGACCTAAAGGTATACCAAGTATCAAAATTATAAATGTGAAAATAAGAAAAATGTTTATATTACTTAAAAGGTATAAATTGAATGTACCTTAAAACTGCAAACATGTGATAATACATATGCATGGGGGCAGAGAGAAAAGAAATATGAAAAAAAAAAAAGTGGGCAATATAGCATTTATAAAGACCAGCCACATGAAGACTACTGAGCTCCTGGAAGGCTTGAGGTCCAAACTGTGTTGTAAATATAAAATATGTCCCAGATTTTGAAAACTTAATATGAAAAAAGTAATGTAAAATAACCCATTGATATTTTTATATTATTACATGATAATATTTTAGCTATATTAGGTTAAATAAAATGTATTGCAATCAATTTTACTTTTACTCTGTCATGTGCCTACTAGAAAATGTTAAATTACATAGGAGGCTCACATTTTATTTCCACTGCATAGCACTGCTACATGCAATGGTGGAATTATATCTGTTTCTCTTTTTTTTTCTCATGCTATTATATTTTTGGAAAAAATTTTTTTACATTAAAATGAGCATACATAAGAGCAGACTGCCAAAACTGAATGTTTTGAAATAAAAAGAAGAGAAACCTGCTTTGTTAAGTAACTGAGATCTTGAGCAAGTCAAGGACACCACTAGTCTCAGCTTTTTTTTTCTAAAAGGGAATGAGAGGGGCGCCTGGGTGGCTCAGTTGGTTAAGAGTTTGCCTTTGGCTCAGGTCATGAACGGGGGGTCTTAGGATCGAACCCCTACGTCAGGCTCCCTGCTCAGCGGGGAGTCTGTTTCTCCCTCTGCCTCTCCCCCTTGCTCTCTCTCAAATAAATAAATAAAATCTTTACATAAATAAATAAAAGGGAACGAGAAAGCAAAGGTCATTAAAGGCCTTTCCAGTTTGAAGCACAATGCGGAGATGAAGATACTCTCTTCTAAGAGATTCTTCTAATAATTGGCAGAAATCTGCCATTTTGTTGCAGAAGGGCAATGAGGAAGATGCAATAGCAAGGTGAGGTGACCCTGTTTTGTCCTCTCCTAGTCCATCAGGTCACAGACGTCTCTGCAAAGGCAGAGTGACAATGGACAGGTAACATAAACACATTCTAGATTTTTGGTATGTCTTCCTTCTAGTTCTTACAAGAGCCCAGGGGTCTACAACAGGGAGCTAAATAGGAACAATGAACACATCAGTGAGGGAAGGATTAGCTTGGTCCTAAGTGATTCAATACCAACACCGAACCCTTAAGACCATAATTCAGGATACTGTCAAACATCATAATAAAAAGTAAAAATACGAGGGTGTAGAGGTATTAGAGAAGTTACCCAAGATTCCCAAGTGTTGAATCAACTCTAAGACTCTCTTAACATTTTAAAACAAATGACTGCAAAAACTCTAGAACAGTTATCTTATCCTAAATTTCACTGTGAGTTAAACTTATTCTAAATGGTCAGTATAAAATACCATGGATTTTTAAGATAATTTTGATAGTGCTAACAGTGCTAAATATTCCAAATAAAGCCAAAGGATATCAACAAAAGATTTATGGATGAACCTTGGCATAGAGCCATGAGCCCCATCTGCAAGTCACACATTACATATTGTTTGCATGTGATTTGGTTTTCCTTAACCCTTGAGGTGCACACTGGGATTTCCCCAAAGAGCTCCCAACACTGAAGGCTTATCATCCAGCGCCAGTGGATTAATTGGGAATGGCATGCGGGACTCCTGGGAAAAATGGTTCAGAACAAAACTGCCTGGGGCAATTTAATTTCTCATCGAAAAAAGGCTAATTTTCAAGTTATGCGGAAGCTCAAATACGCACATGGTCTAAACTGTTCTCTCATCTGAAATCAAGGATTACAGAAAGCCAATTAATACAGGATTGTGTTCTATAAGGTTAGTCAAAAATTCATACATAAGCTACCGTTTTTATTAAATTATATGATACGGAAACTAAAACTTGTTTCTCTGAGCCATTGGTTTGAAAGAACAAGTCTCTAGTACAATCCATTCTCCTCGTCAATGGCAGGTTTCATTAGCAAGGTATCATCTATCACAAGTCCATGTGAATACTGTCATAGTACTTTGCATTACGCTAATCACCATGGTTACTTATCTAGCAAAGAATTCTTTAAACAGGCATGAAATTGCCAATGTTAAATACAGAGCACGAGGAGGAAGAGAAGGAGGAGGAAAATATATTATTTCTTTTCTCCAATGTAATGAATATATGTGTACTGAAGAAAAACCACCATGACAGCTAATTAACTAGATGGCCAAGATTATGCAAATAAAGATTATTGAATATTCAGTTGATGGAAATTTTAAAGTGAAATATTTGGGAAATTAGACATTTGAAAGACCTTGCTACTAATGAGTATTTAAAGAAAGAAAAAAAAAGAAACTTCGTATAACCGGCTAAAATTTACTTAAGATATGCCTAACACAGCATTTAACATATAGTACACATTCAATATGCATTTGTTAAATGAATGAGAACTTAAACATGTCCAAATGTTTCAGATTAAAGATAACCATTTTATTAATAGTGACTAAAACAAATAGAAAACCATTAGCAACTTGATCTCAGGTAACCAGCCTCAGAGGGGGGAAGTCAGATCAATAGAAAAAAAAACCCATCTCTCAAATGGATAGGCCACTTTGTGGGAAAGGAAAGAGCTCCCTGGTTGGTTATCTGAGACCGTTTACTCTTTTATATAAGGAAGGGAAAAAAAAATCGACAACTTTTCCCACTATTTTAAATAATCTGGCCTGGATAGTTTTAATAGTCTTAAAAGTCAAAGGACTTGTGCGGTTAATCAGAAGTTTTCTTAAAAATTTCCCTATGAAAGCCAAAGAAACAGCACGCGGTAATAACAGGAGTCTGGAGTTCTCTCTTCGATTTTCTCAAAATAAACTGACAAAATGACACACGTTTGTCACGAATAATGAATGTACACAGCCACATATGGTGTTACGAAAGGGTGCATCTCGACACACGCCCAGACACATCCCCACCTCACACAGACGGTCCAGCTGAGCCTCCCCAGGACAATGAATAGACTGGTTTAAGGGAAAACCTTCCAATCTCCCACGTGGCGAGAACAATATATTGAGAAAAACAAAGGCAACAAGCCACTCAACTCACCTGACTATTTTCCTTGATCCACATGGAGTCCACAGAACTAGACACATCCTTTACCGAGCACATCACAGAGAATTCCTCCCCTTCCCTAAGAAGAGAGCTTGCTTTGGACACCGACACAACCGGGACAGCTCTGATGGCTGGAAGAAACAGAAATGGGGCCCTCAAATCACGTGCTCCACGATCCTGGGCCATTTTCACTTACCACATTTCCGCAAACGCATACACCTTACTGGGTGGTCTTTTAAATAAGGTATCCAGTGTGGCACTAACTGGTCTGCATTACTTGCAGATCTGAAGACGTCAGCAATTAAATCTGGCATCCTTCAAACAAATTCGTCAGCATCGAGTGAAAACGACAGCAATGTGTGCATTAGATGATAATGCTGCTGGACAATGCTATTTTGAAACAGGGAGAAACCCTGGTATAGGGAAGCGGCTTTAATCTTTACCTCACACAACCTTGACGGTCTTGCGTGGACGTGACCTACGACTAATCGTATTCTTTTCACCAAACAGGCATCTTTCCCATGTGCCATAATAATAACCTCTTGCTCATTTCTGAAAATCTCCATTTTGTTTTATTTTATTTTAAAAGATTTATTTATTTATTTATTTGAGAGAGAGAGAGCATGAGAGGCGGGAGGGCCAGAGGGAGAAGCAGACTCCCCGCTGAGCAGGGAGCCCGATGCAGGACTCGATCCTGGGACTCCAGGATCATGACCTGAGCCGAAGGCAGTTGCTTAACCAACTGAGCCACCCAGGCGCCCCTGAAAATCTCCATTTTTTAAATAATCAAACTTTCCTTAATTCCAATGAGCATACTTTTTCAAAAGCCTTCATAAAAAACTACTCGGTAGCTGTATGCCAACTAGTGTTGAATCTGATGATCTCGGAGATACAAAATCTAGACATCTTCCAGCTACAGAAATAATCTACATAATGCCCCCATAAGAACAAGGTCCATATTCAGCTGGTACTTTCCTCTTCAGATTGGGAATAGTTTGGGAATACAGTAAAATCAAATAACCGAGGAGAAAGTCAATCCCTCTATCAATAGTCAATCAAGGAGTGAACCATGTATACGCTAATCTTTTCTTTTTTTTTTTTTTAAGATTTTATTTATTTATTTGACAGAGACACAGTGAGAGAGGGAACACAAGCAGGGGGAGTGGGAGAGGGAGAAGCAGGCTTCCACCGAGCAGGGAGCCCGATGCGGGGCTCCATCCCAGGACCCTGGGATCATGACCTGAGCTGAAGGCAGACGCTTAATGACTGAGCCACCCAGGCGCCCCTATGCTAATCTTTTCAAACAGCCAAAGGGAAGCCTCCCAGTGAGGTTCTCTTGGGAGGAACACCTCATGCAGTTATGAGACTCTGCATGTCCTGAGGTCGGTTTTCACAGCTGTCCCCGTTGTGGTCTGAAAGCCAGTCTCCACTAGACGTGGCCGTGGACTGGTGGTGGGGGCTGAGGGCTATGAAACGAAGAATTCACAAGCAACTGACGGGAGCTGGGAGCTGGGGGAAGTGATGAAGGGCCAGCTGCCTGACTGCCGATACTAAAATGCACCAGGGAGAAGAGAGAAGGCGCCTCTCCCTCAACGGAGGCGCCGCCTCCCAGCGGAAAGAAAGAAAGGGCCCCTACCTGCCCTCACTTTCAGGGTGAATTTCATCGATAGCACGGACTTGCCCTTCTGGTCTGCAGAGCAGTGCAAGCAGAGCCGGTGATACTCGCGCTTCACGTGTCTGATCGTGATGCCAGCCTTGGGATCAGCGACAAACGTCAAGTCCTTGGGAAGAGGCTTCCCCTCACACCCCTTGAGGGAGTAATTGGTCACCTCTGGGTCTGTCAGAGGACAGCGGACCAGCGTATCATTGTCTTCTTTCCCATACAAGCGAAGGTCAACGAGGAAAAGCTGTGCAGGATCTAAAGCACATTAAAAAATCAGTAGTTCGAATGGCTGGTCACAGGCACTGAAAACATTTTTAAAAGATCTCAGAGGACTCTGATCTTTTTTTCTTTGCAAGCTAAAGTTGAATTCATCCAAGTAGTACTAATTAAGCAACAGTGAACATTTGTTAACCCCTTTCACATGTCAGACACTAAGCTCGGACCATTATGCTTTATCTCGTTTAATCCTCAAAACACTCCCATGCGATGGGCACTATCGTTACCATTTCAGAGATGAAGAAACCGAAGTCTCAAAAAAGTGACTCTCCTAAAAAGTGACACGGCCCAGAAAAGGCTTAGCATACCACAGTCCAACGGATACTGCAACCTGAGCTCTTAAAACTCTGAGGATATTTTATTACAACAGTTACTCTTCTTCTACAACAGGGAATACTCTCAGGAGGATGCGCCAAGACTAAGCCAGTGTGATGATACCTATTAGGGTTCCTCCTCTACCCCTCTCTGTGGGGGCCCCTCTCCGGAGTCCCCAGTCTCCAGGATCTTTCAGCTTCTGCATAAAATCTGCAAAACTGTTAACAGGCCATGCTGTACAAACGTCATGTGGGCCTCACCCTTCATATTCCTTTAAAGATATGTATAAATATAAACTTCTGGACATCAAATGAAGCCATATTCCCAAGGGGAGCTTATGAGTTTCAGGAATACTGTAGTAAATATCATCCAAACCAGGACACTTGTGAGTGAAAGGGAGTGCTATTAAGAATTATGCCAGGACACCAGGTGTGGACTGGAAAGGCCTCAGGCCGACCGGGACCTCCTATAAGCAAAGACAAACCTCATTCTATATACACAATATACAGCCACCTCTGCTGTGTAAAGATAATACAGATAGATGGCTGGGCCAACAGATCATGTTTAAAATGTTTTTTAATTGTCCTTTCCACCTGAAATGCAGGTGTCCCACAAAAAATCGATTTGACCTCATTGAAATATACTTACCATTTAATTTTGGAAAAAAAAAAAAATTTCCAGAGTAAATTATGCACCTCCCAGCTTCATTTGTTGTATGAGTAAAGTCCCTCATGATGGCGGAACTAAGGTCCAAGGCCATCGCTGGTTATTTTCCCATCTACTCTTTCAGTTGCTTAAGGCTAGCTCCTACAATGCCCCGATCTCCTTCATAGCTGTAACATAACTTACTTAAGTATCCAAACATCTTAAATCAGTAATAATTCAGTGGAGTGCTAGGTTACTGAGCAAGACTTCCCTTCTAAAGAAAATCCATGAACTCTGAGAGACTGACTTGGCTAATTTAGCCGTTTTCCCCATTTATTCAGTTGTCTACCCACTGTGTTAATATGCAGAATGATACTTCATGACCACCTGGAAACTCCAGAGTACCTTCTTGAATGTCAAAGAACAGCACCCAGGTTAGCCCAACCGTCATGGAACCATGCCCCGAGGCTAAGCTGTGCCTTATCCATGTGTATTTTTCAGCTACCCACCTAGGAAAGAATAACGTAAACTAAGGGGAGGCAGAGTCAATTTCCCAGCAACCTTCTTTATAGTGAACACTATGGGAGTCAACTTTATTAACCCTTGATAGAACTCAAATTTGCACAATTCTGTCTCCTGAACAACAATTACATGAGGACGACAGAGCCAATGATCTTATCCAAATGTTTCAGTGAGAAACTGAAACTCTAGAGCTTGCTCAGATCTGCCATCTAGGACAAATTTATTCACTATTCTTCCACAGTATCGTGGGTGAGGACTCCTATGCTGGCCTCTTTCAATGGTAGCCCCAGTCCAGGCACAAACTCAGGACCAGTACCTGGACCCTATTTCTCCTCCTATAACCTGGGTATGTCTCTTAAAGCTTTAAGTACTTGTTTTTACATCAACAGAAAGATTCTTCCTGCCTCCCACTGTCAGCAAACCTCCTCTTGACAAGGATGTTAAAAGCACAAACACAGATGAATCACTGAGTTTATCATAGGAAATGGGGTACGGAAATCCAACGATCATATTTTTCTTCTGTTTCTAAGAGGTCACAGTTGTTGTTTTTTTTTTTTTAAATGAATCAACTGACAACTATTAAGAACCTAAGAGGGGACATGGGGTGATTAGCTGACTGCGTTATTTTTCTGGAATTTGCTCCCTAAAAGTGGGTCAGTTCTTTTGAAGTGTTGGTCTGTTTAGGCCTTCAGAGGCCTTTAGTTCCCTGAAGTGTTTTTACTAAGTGGGAGTATCTAGGATCTCAAGGCATTAAAATGCAGCTTTCCCAAAGGGCCTAATTTATTCTCAGGGTTTACTCACAGTGCCAGGACAAATGGGCTAACCATATTGTAACCTCATTAGGAAGAGTATCTCAGCCTTGCAGACCTCCAGCTGGAGTCATACCTATGGCCACGATGTATCAAAAGATGGGGGGAACTAACAAAGAAAAAATTGTTTTAGGCATCGGAGACCCAGCCAGTAATATTTTCTCTCTGGCTCAGCCATCTATATGTCATCCATAATTAAGAACAGGACATTAAGTTCTCTAAAGCATAGCATGAAAGAAAGCTACACATTTACCTCTAACAAACACATAAATGGACCTGCTTAAACCATCTCTGTTGGTGCACGTGTAATTGCCTGTGTTGGCGGCCTCGGCTTTCTCTGTGATCCATTCATTGCGTGTGTTCTCACTCAATTGACCCGGGGTCTCAAAAGTCCATTTGACAAATCCTGGATCGGTGCATAACAGCCTAATCTCGTCGCCAACGCTGACTATTAACTCTGATTTTGCTGGGTGGATGGATGGTAGAGACAGTTCCCCTGGACTCACAGATGGTTGAGAAGAGCCTGCCAAGAAAAATAAGAATCGTGTTGAGTATGATCTTTTTCCTTGGCGAAATAAAGCATTTCTTCCAATATTGATTTCCATCTTCTGTGTGCTCTACAATAAAAATAGGACAAAGCTGCCCTGCTATTTATAGTTAGAAAGAGTTCTGTTTAAAGTTTCTTAAGTTCGGCAGCAGCTCTTCCTGCCCACGGGTCCTGTCCGTGCTTTAATAAAACCACCATTTTGCACCCAAAAAAAAAAAAAAAATTTAAATAAATAAAGTTTCTTAAGTTCATCTAGAAAATCATCTTCTGCAACTCTCAATTAATCCTGAGGGTCAGACTTGGTATGCGAGCCATACTTGTGGGATGCCATGGCCTTCCCTGGATTAAACACACAGCTGGGTCAAGTTTCCACTCTGACTATGGGCCATCGCAATGGTCGTGACATGCTGACACCCAGCTTAAAACAACAAAAACAAAACCCCATGCTATAAAAAACAAAAAACAAAAAAACGCAACAACAACAACAAAAAACCACACAATGGCCAGTTACTCTTCTGGCAAAATCTACATGACCATGACGTAGCTTGGCTGTGAATTCAGTTATATGTATGCAATTCTCCTTCTATGGTGATGTTCATCAAAAGGAGAACTATTTAAGAGTTTCAAACAATAAGGCAGAACACAAAAATCCCATTTTAAAGATCAGACCCTGAGATATTTCATGACATAGGTGGGGTTGCTGCCTAATCAAACTAATGCCTAGACAGGTTTCCTAGTTTAAAGATGCAAACTTAAAGACTCTGAACATGAAACTTGAACCTTAGAAAATTCACGGCAGCCAATTCATTCATTCCTTCATCCATCTGTTGCATGAACGTAAATATCTGTTCATTAATTAGGATCTGCAAAAGCTTCGAGCTTTTGTGAGTGCATGTAAGTGCAACACCAGGGTTGTTACACACACTCCAGAGTTTAAAGAACACACTGCTCGTGTGTCAGAATTAAGTGAAATATAGCTACAAGTTTTAGTTTTAAGCTGAAGAAGAAGATGAAGAAGAAGTGGGCTGGACCTTGACCATATCAGAAAAGGTGAAAGAGAAGACAGACACGTGCCATGGACATATATACACCATAGGGAACACAAAGGACCATGCAGAGACACTATATGTTTTTTGGTAAAAAAGTGACGTGTGCAGTAAGATACCATAGATCTTCTAGATTTGAGGAAATCTGTGAAGAGGTCTGGTCATCAGGTAGGCAGAAGCAATGAGATCTACAGTAAAGGATCTGAGACGAAAGATGCATCATAACTACCAGAGGAAAAATACATTAAAGGTTATAGTGTAATTAAAACTACAAAGTCTGACTCACATATGACCTGGGTGGGAAGAAAGGGTCCCTGGGTAAGGTGGGCTAGAGCAACAGGGTCACAGAACTCCCCCTCTGGGGGTGGGGGTAGCTTTCTATCACTCCCGCAGGGTCACAGGCGAAATGGGTATCTATCCCCTCCACACACATACAAGGTCAGAGACAATAAGTGACCTGAGTTCTGAAGGAGGCGTAAAAGGCAAAAGCAGCAAGTGAGCCAGGCCAGGAAGCTCTTCACAAGTCTGGCAGGACTGGGGATGCGGAGACATGAGCAGAAACAGATGGGGACAGGAGGGGCAAGTGCCCTGCTCCCAGGGCATACCTGGCCAGTGGACGCACTTCTCACCTCATGGCCTGCATTGCAGATGGTGGAGGAAGAGCAAAAATGTATGAAGTGAAAAGAAAGGATCAGACAGTCAAGGGTGAGCGCTTGTGGAAAAAAGAGGAATGCAGAGAGTACCAATCTTGGAGAGCTCTTCCAGCTCAGACGGTATAGATTTGAGAGTTAAAAATCAAACAAAAATGAATAGGCACCAACAGCAACAAAAAAACCACCACCAGGAAGGAAGGGAGGGAGGGAGGGGGGAGCGCAAGAGGGAAGGTTTCAAAGAAAAGGTGGTGGGTCCGAGAGCAGATGCTGAGCAAGATCAAGGGAATGAACAAAAGCGAAGGGAATGAACCAACTACATTTGGTGAGAAAGAGACGGCAGGAAACCCAAGAGTACAATTTCAGGTGAGTGGGAATTTCTGTATGCTCCGAGGTTAAAGGCTCTACGTGGAGACCTCCCTCGGAGGAGCAATGGCACAAAAGGGCAGAGAAAAAGACCTGCAGTCAAACGAGGTTAAAAGTTACAGAGAGACCTGTTGACATGTGAAGAAAGGAGGAGAATCTGTGGAGAGGGACAGACCAAAGACGCTCTAAAGAGACACGGAAACTCTCCCCTGCAGGTGCAGAGATGACTGGTCTCAATACCAATTTGTTACCCAGACAGATACTGCATCTGGGCACCTTCTGACCATGGCTTCAATCGCAGCTCCATGAGGTCATGCCAAGTCCAACCCAGACTGAAGACCCTCAGCAAACCTCGAGTCGCAGGAGGTAACAAGGTCGATGACAATCATCAAATGTTATTAAGCACCAACAACATAAGAAGTGCTATAGACAAGACCATCCGTCCCCACTGAGGCTCAGCATCTAAATGGCGGGGCCAGAATATGGAAACAACGTGCCTGGGATTGTTTTTAAAGTCTTACAGCACGTTAAATAATGGAAACGGGCACAGCAATAAAGGGAGACACTGTTATTTCAATTATTAATCCCCTTTTAAAAAGGGAGTAGTTCCAAGCGAATAGCAAACAGTGACATTGACAGAAAATTTAATCCAAAAACTCTTCAAGAATTTATATCGCAATATACTTCAATTAATTCAGCTTTCTCAGGAGTGCATATGTAGATAGGACAATCCAGTTGAATAAATATTGCTGACTTCCAGAGACCTACCATGCCAATGGAAGTGAGACCAAGGCAGGCCACTCAACTTCTCTGTGCCCAAGTTTCCAGATCCAGAAAATGATAAAAATACCCTCATCTCCTGAGTTCTTATGGGAATCAGATGTGACAAATACACACAAGGAGCTTAACACACGACAGGGCACTCTGAATACACGTTGGCTATTACAATGAGGCAGTAAAGCATCCTCGGGGAGAGCTTGGCTCTTGAGTTAAGACTCTAGATTTGCATCCTGGCTCTGCCAAGAAGTGTGTGATCCTCAGGCAAGTTACCAATCAACTGTGCCTTGGTCTCCTCATTTGCAAAGTAGGGCCAGTAGCAGAACCTATTTCATAAGGCTACTATACAAAGCACTCAGAACTGTCTGGGGGCACAGAGAAAATACATAATAAATGTTAGACACAATTATTCTAAAAACAGAACCTCTTATCACCCCTCCAGTCAGTCCTGACTTACTCACTTCCTATGAATATACACGGTTTTTTGGTTCCCTCATTTCCCAAACGGGTTCCCACCTGACTTCTGCCTCCTTGGCAGCAAATCCTAGCAGTCTTTCCTTTGGAGCCTCCGCCTCTCATCGTTGTCTGCCTTTCCACTCCTGCCGCCCCACCCCAGACTAGCCACTTACAGATTAACATCCTCTCCTAAAAGATCTCTGTGCTTCCGGCCACCCCACTCCCAACTCATCAGACCTCACAGCCCTGAGACCCACCAGCCTAAGAAACAACCATCTTTCAACAACCCCACTCATAGGGCGCCTGGGTGGCTCAGTTGGTTGAGCGACTGCCTTCGGCTCAGGTCATGATCCTGGAGTCCCGGGATCGAGTCCCGCATCGGGCCCCCTGCTCGGCAGGGAGCCTGCTTCTCCCTCTGACCCTCCCCCCTCTCACGCTCTCTATCTCTCATTCTCGCTCTCAAATAAATAAATAAAATCTTTAAAAAAAAAAAACTAAAAAAAAAAAAAACAACCCCACTCATAGCCTCAAAAACCCGACCAGAGGTGGTGGCAGCTAACAGTGACATCATGTACAGCTTACAAAGCACTGCCACGGGACTAATTTCCAACGGCTTCCTCTGGACCCTCACCTACCTCGCCAGTAAGATTCTTAGGCTGGCTGGCTAAGAAGCCTGTAAGCAGCTCCATTCCTTCCTAGGCCCATCGTTCTGCCCATGTCCCCAGAACACACCTACCCCACCAATTCACGTTCTTGCCACGTGGAAAGCCCTGCTTTTCAGGGGTGTTGGTCCCTAACCACGATCACCTGTCCTCACTAACTCCGTCCAACACGTCCAGCCCCATCACCCATCCGTCTGTACTGATATGTGTGGTCTAAATCTAGGGTCGACCTCCTCCACCTACTCCAAGGATCTTAAATTGTAATTTTCCCCTGGCAAAGTCATAAAAACATTCCCTTCGATCCCTGAACACAGAGAAGATCGGAGGAGGTACAGGTTAGGTTCCTCAACACCCAGCCCCTGTAACAGGTCTCAACAGTCCACTGGGCTACCCCCAAAAGAGGACAGATGTCATTTCTGCTGCTCCACTAAGGGAGTGGTTCCATTCATCCATTAAACTGCTACGGAAACCTCCCAAAAAGCAGCCTCCAAATTTGAGATCACTGGTTTCCGCTTTACTTCTAGGGTTTTAAAAAATAAATTTTAGAACAATTGCCACCAGAAACATTAAGGGTTTTATTTTCAAAATAAATTATGTGTAAGTTCAACCCTCAAACTCACCCTATAAAATGAAAATAGAGCTTATATTAGAGTGGGACTCTGGATATTATTTATTCTTTTTTCTAAACTATCTTGAATGTTGTTACGACGCTCTCACAATGAAAAAGACTAGAGATTCATATTAAAAGGTACGTACCTACCTTTATTATATTTAAAATTCAATACCAATAAGGTATTCCAACTGAGCTTTGACATTGCTCTGAAATTACACATTTTATTATTTTTTCTAAATTACCATTTTAAAATGCATCTGGTACACAGCAAATTCTCAACAAATGTTTGCTGAATTGGGTTTTATCTACATCGGGACTCTGCATTAGAAAATGTACTTCCCTAATTATGTTTGGCTAAGGCTAATTTAAGAGTTGTTTTCTATTCTCTGAACACATGTCAATTAAT